TTTCCATGAATTTTGGTTTTCTTCATTCTTCTTTGCTCTGGATGAGGAGAGACCCATCGTTGCATCTAGATGGCAGCTTGCTAGCTTTTAAGATCCCAGTAGCTACTTGCCAATAAAAACTGAGCTTTTTCAGACAAGAATTAGACCTCCATGTTTCCACTGGACCAAGTATAGAATTGTTGGTAACTCACTAATCATGTTCACAGGCACCTATTAGGAGGAAAACTGAAAATAATGATATCCTTTACAGAATCATAAATGGTGTCTATTTTGTGAATTTACCATTTCTCAGCAATTAAGATGATGTTAATAATTATACTATCAAAGTGAATTATCACCTCAATTTCTTTCTTCATTGTTTCTTTTACTTTACCCCTTTTTCTTTTGTTAAGTCTTTATTTTTTGCCAAAATATAATTGGAATAAAATAACAGTAAAAACTCTTTAACTGCCAATGCTTGATGAAACTTGTGAAAAACTGCAGGTACAAAGGAGTGTGTGAGAAAAGTGAACATGTACTTAACATATCATAATTTTTTCTCAATTCAAGTTGACAGCTATAAAAATGGAAAACAGGACTTTAAAAAGTTAGTTGTAATGTTCTTTATACAATGCTAATGCAAAATTCTACTGAGAGCAGATCTTCTGTAGATGGCCAAGGAGAGATATTATCATATTAAAAAGCTCTTTATTAAGAAGATAGAAAGTTTAGATCCTAGATACAGTAGAAGAAAAATGTGGAACAAACTCAAAATCATAAAAAAGACCAGGCTTATTGGTCTGATAGAGACTGGTGAAACTCCCAAGACTATAGGTTCTAGTTACCCTTCAGGCCTGAAATTTAACTCAATCCCATGGCTTCCAGCCAAACAATAGACAGGTATATAGGGTAAACATTTATACCATGTAGATATACTCCTTAGAACAATGGATCACGGGAAATCAGAAGAACAGTATTTGCTCAAGAAGATAGCTCAGGGGGCAGGAATGCATAGGAAAGAAGGACACAGGGAGAGGTGGGAAGAAAGCTGTTACATTGTGGGGAATTGCAGTCAATGTCATAAAACAAAATGTGTATGAACTGCTGTATGGAAAACGAATCTGCTCTGTACACTTCCATCCAAATCATAATAAAAATGTAAAAAAAAAAAAAAGCAAACAAGCATTCAGGTGTATCTACGCATATAAGATACATACATTTTAGAAAATTTCTGTATTTACACATGTGTGTGAAACTGAAAAATATAAACTTGAATTAAAATAACATACATGTATAAGCATGGGATTCATTTAAATTACTTATACTGAATAACTTTTGGGGGCACAGAAAGAAGCAGAAAGATAGTTTGAGATTTTAAAAAATATTAGAGGATACTTACAATATGCAAAAGTTTTAACACATCTACAAACCTGTTTAGGGGGAAAAAAAAACAGGAATGAAAGGCATGTTTTAAATGAACCAAGAGGCAAAATACTCTAAATTAGTAACTAGATACCTACACTTTCTCTGAGCTCATGATCTCCTTGGCAATGTGATGAACTTTACATTTCATCCCATTATCTTCATCCTGTGGATAAGAGGACATTAAGAAAGCATGAACTTATAAAGTAATAAAGATCAGCTTTGAACTAGTAACATACAAATTCTAACTCTATCCCTTGCAAATTTTCTACTAACACACACTTCATAGTGTATGATATCTTAAAAGGTAGACACAGAAAATGAGATCAGGGATACACCAGGAGGAGTGAGGGCAATCGGAAATCCTCACCATCAGCAGTGCTGGACTGACCAACGGCCCTGAGGAGGTCCAGAGCCTTGCTGGAGCTGTCAATGGTTCAAAACTGAAAAGTCACACTTGGTAGAGGAATTAGCCCCTACAGATATCACATGAACGTGAGTCCTTTGGGTGCAAACACATAATTTAAGAATTACTACTGAATATCCAAAAGAGATGTGTAAGTGAACTTCGCACGCACTGCCGTCCAGTCGGATTCGACTCCTAGCAACCCCTCCTTGGGTTTCCGAGGTGGTATCACTGCAGAAGTAGATTGCCCAACCTTCCTTCCAAGGAGTGGCTGGTGGGTTTGAACTGCCAGCCTTCTGGTTAGCTGTCAAATGCCTTAGGCACTATGCCACCACAGCTCCCAACTGAACTTCACTGTAAAGCTATTCTAAGTCAGACAACTTAAAAGCAGTATGAAAAGAAATCTTAATCACAGTCTATAATGGAAGTCAACGTTTAAGGCACCAAACCAAAAGAGTCAATTCTGACTCACAGCAATCCTACAGAACAGAGTAGAACTGCTCCATAGGGTATCCAATGCTATAAAAATCTTTAAGGAAGCAGACTGCCTCATCTTTCTCCCACAGAGCAGCTGGTGGGTTCGAACCACAGACCTCTTAGTTAGCACCTGGATATCTTAATCACTGCACTATAAGAGCTCTTCATTAAAGCCACAGGCTTCTGCAATTTCCTTAAAATATATTTGAGAAATATGCTCTTAGATTGAAGGCAGTTTTATTCTAAACAACTGAAATGAAATTCTCCTAATATATACTGCTTTGTGTGAAAATCAAATGCCTATAGCCAAAAATAAAAACCCAACCAATTCCATCAAGTTGATTCCAACTAATAGCAACCTTTTAAGACAGAGTACAACTTCCCCCATAGGGTTTTCAAGGCTGTAAATCACTGTCGAAGCAGAGTACCTCAACTTTCTCCCATGGAGCAGCAGGTAGGTTCAAACCACTGACCTTCTCGCTAGCAGCTGAATGTCTTAACCAGGGCACCACCACAGCTCCTCTGTTCAAATGCCTTAGTAGGGACAAAAATGTACACATTTGGGGAAAAGAAAAAAAAAAAGTGACTAGGAAAGAGCTCTCAATATTCAGGAGAGTGGTAGTTGTTATTGCTGTTTTCTTTTAAATACTGATAGATCTTGGGGCAGTGATAGAGCAACAGAAGAATTCTCACCTTCCAAGTGGGAGACCTGGGTTCAATGCACCTCATGTGCAGCTACTACCCGTCCATCACTGGAGGCCTGTGTATTACGATGATGCTGAATATGTTTCAGCACAGCTTCCAGACTAAGATGGACTGGGAAGAAAACCTGATGATCTACTTCCATAAATCAGCCAGTGAAAACCCTATGGACTGTAACAGTCCAATCTGCAACCAATCATGGGGATGGGGCAGGACTAGGCAATGGATAAAGAAAGGGTCACAACAACAACTGCTAGTAAGGCTTCGGTGCCTAGGAATTGGAGAAAATGAGAAGTGTTTCTCTCCATTTTTATTCTAGTGAAATATCTGAACACTAAAATGTCAGTGAAGGGAAAATAAGAACAAATAAGGAATAAGCAACTTAACATTTTAGATATCACACCTACATGAATAAAGTATGCCTGCTGCTATTAAAAGGAAAATGCTCTGACGTTTCTGCAAGAACAAATGTCAGATCTGGTTATAGAGAGGCCTCTCTGCAGGTGTTGGGAACCCCAGGGCACCGCTGTTCTGTGCTGCCCAAGGCATAGTTTGGACGTCACAATAAGCATAAAAAGTGACCATACCAGACCATGTCAGTCATCAATGAAATGACATAAGAAAAAAATGATAGTCTTTCCTTCTACGTTGAAATCACAGATGATCCTAGAAGGATTGCTTCCTGAGCATCAACTTGCTGGGTCAAAGGACTATCTTAGTTCTTTATTTTTAAAAATTTTTTAACCTGTTTCCAGAATTTCAGTGTCAAAACCAAGGAATAAAAATAGATGCAGTTTAACTATAATAAGCTAAGTGTAAATGAAGCCCTTCTGAAAATTACATTTTAATTCTTTTTAAAAAGCATGTCTGCTTATACTCTGTATGTACATCAAAACTCATTCATTTAGTGTCATTCAAAGGACTAAACCAAAAAACTCACTGCTGTCGAGTTGATTCCACCTCACAGCAACCCCTATTGGATTTCCAAGGCTGTGTAAATCTTTAGAGAAGCAGACTGTCTCATCTTTCTTCTGCAGAGTGGCTGGTGGGTTTGAACCACTGACCTTCTGGTTAGCAGCCAAATGCCTTAAACACTACACCACCAGAGTTCTTTTCAAAGAACTAAACTAGGAGATAATTCCTTAAGATCTTATGTTGTTGTTGTTATGTGCCGTTGAGTCGGACCCAACTCATAGCGACCCCTCCCTGGGTTGCTGATGTTCAAATTTAGATCTTATTATTACAATCATCTTCATTTTCATAAGAAGTCAGAGAGATACAGTACCTGTAAAGGAAAACTTTATTTTTACGTTTTTTTTTTTCACCACATTGAGAACCATTAGCTTATAAATGGTAGTTGAAGTCACAGGGGTGAATGAGATCAAATGGAAGGTTAGTAGAATAAAGTAAGATTCAGTGCCAGCTGATTCATTATTTTGCACCTAAGTTTGAAAACATCAACAACAACAAAAAAAAACCACCCCACTGATGTTGAGTAGAATTACAACTCACAGCAACCCTAAAGGACAGAGTAGAACTGACCCATAGGACTTCCAAGGTTTTAAATCTTCATAGACGCAGACTGGCACATCTTTCTCTTGCAGAACTGCTGGTGGGTTCGAATTGCTGAACTTCCAGTTAGCAGCCAAGCCCTAAATCACTAATCACCAGGGACAGTTAACTTTCAGACTACCCATAACTCTCTTTGAAGTTCTAATTCTGAGATTAGAATTAGTAGGTCTGAGATTGGGACACAGAAGTGGCTCTTAGAAGAGGAAATTAAAGATATATAAGAGATATAGCCCCAGTCTTCAAGAATTAAGTAAGAAAATGAGAGAAACCCCCCCAATGAGATAGCTGACATGATAGCCACAGGAAAAATTAAAAAAAAAAAAAAAGTAAATATGAAGAGCAAATCAAGTACACAAATAACTATATATAAGGACAACTATGAAACAGGCTGACATCTTGAAGGAGAAAAAGATCACAAGAAGGCCAAGGTTCATAATTCAGGAAAAGCTTCATAAAGAATAAAGCATGTGATGATCTTCAGCTAAACAGCTTTAAACAAGCCACCAAGTGCCTACATGCTAGATATTATAGAAACACTCATTAAGACTAGAAATCGGGACTCCTCTTTCTTGTCTTCCCTGCCAGTTATCATTATCACAACTTAGTCATTAAGTCCTGCCAATCTGTGCTGCCGAGTATTTCTTTAAAACTAATGGATCCTTTCCTGTCTTCCACAATTGCCTACTTATGACTTGCCTATGACAGCAATAACCTAAGTAGTTTCCTTGGCTCACCCCACCACAATCCATTTTCTACACTGCTGCCAGAGTAATATTTCTAAATTGTAAACAGCATCACATTACTCCTCAGTCTGAAACCCACTGGCAGCTCCCTATCACCAAAGGATAACAAAAACCAAACTCTCCTTTGCCATGTGAATAAAGCACTTGCCTTTCTTCTGCCCTGACTGTCCTCCCATGACCTTCCCCTCTCCCCAAGATTTCTGCCTGTCATACTGCAACTCATCCTTTAAAATGGCACTCAAAGGTTTCCCACTTGAAAAGCTTATAAAGACTGCCTTGATGCTCTCTCTCTCCAGGACCTCCAAAGGATGGGATTACTCTCTTCTTTGTGCCATCTTTACAATTCTTAACACAATGGACTGCACTTACTTGCTTACTAATATGAATTCCCTCTAGTCTACAATTCTATTCACCTTTGTATCCTTCTGCACATTGGCAAATTGCCTGGCCCACTGTGCAACTAATATTCATGAATAAGTAAATGTGTATAAGGGTGGCTGCCACCTTCTCAGAACCTAAGACCAGAGCACAATGCTTTTGAGTTTGTGTTGAGTAACATGAAAACGTGGGAGCTCTGGTAGCATAGTGGCTAAGGCATTTGACTGCTAACCAGAAGGCTGGCAGTTCAAACCCACCAGCCACTCCTCGGAAGGAAGGTTGGGC